GTGTGTTTTTAGCTTTCTTCCTGCTTTTCCAAATTTGAAACATTAGTGCAGTGGTTTATGTTAAAATAAACCTTTGGGTAAAGTTGTCGCAAGCGGGTTTTTCTTGTGTTTCTTGTGAATTTGGTCTTAAATTTTTATTTCAAGTGGCATTAAAAAGTCTTGAATTTAACTTGCCTTATGCTGTAGGAACCCTGTTATATAAATCACTGTTCAATTCGGCATCCAAAGTTAGAGTGTAGTACAGTTGTAAACCTTGATACCATAAGTCTTAACAACAAAGTTTGGCACAATTCTCACAGGGAACACAGCATTAAGGTTGTCTGGTCAGATAAAACCAGGCAGATCTAGTTTTTAATTTGTCCTAAATTTATCAAAACAATAAGGATTTATTCAAATCTGAGTACAAAAGCATGCCCCATTTTTTAGATGTATTTTAACTACCGGTACTACTTTATTTTGATGTGTCAACTCAAGTTTCATTAAAACATATTGAACGTTTTTTTGCCTGCATGGGATAAAAGTTAATTTGTTCAGGGGCGTCATGGGTACCTTTGCAATTCACTCCAGTATGGCTGATAGAGCTTCAATCTGAACACGATTAGCTCTGAGCTAACACAATGCATTTTATGTTTTAGGTCAATTTGTATTGGGTTTTAAAGAATAAACTGATTAAAATCACATAAAAAAAAGTATTTTGGTACAAGTTTTCAAAATGTACTTCAATTCTTCATCTAATTATCCTCTGGTGTTTATTAGGCAAATCATGCATGCTTGATCATCTAGTGTGAAACTGGAATTCTGCACTGGAGAAAAGTGAAATATGTGGACAGATGGGGGGCTGGATATTATGAGAAGAAAAAAAAGAGGTAGATGTTGCACTGAATCATAAAATAAATTTAAATAATTTGCTTGACTAATGATAGATGGCTGCAATGGAATTGTAATTAAAGTTGAATAAGTGACTTAATTATTCTATTGTATGAGCAAATGATATGTTAGAAAGTAATTAAGCAAATATAAAGGAATTGTTAAGTTTCCATTGGACTTAATATGCTAGATAATTGCAGTCCTCCCACATTAAGGCTTTTTAGTGTCTGTAAATCAGCAGAACTGAGCAGGACAATGGTGGGAGACGTTGAAAGCTCAGATATATCAGCACATTTATACCCCATTGTTCATCTTTGTGTCTTCTTTTATTTATTAAGTCATAGCGCGCCTCGCTGGTCCTTGCTTTATTTAATTTTCAAATGTTCTACCTCTCTGTCACTTCCCACTCCATCTTCCATTCACAGTGCAGTGTTTCCTCATTCTAGTGTTCAATTAATATCTATGACTTTCCGGTTTCTCTTCCACTCTCTTCCTTTTGGTTCAGTTTTCCCTTTTGTCATATCAACCCGTTTTATCAGTATTTCCTAATGCTCTTCCCTGTGGTTTCTATGCATATCACAAAGATCTAGAAGATGACATTTTAATTATAATATATTGAAAAAATTAACAAAAAGTGTTTCCATGTATTTCAGATGATCATTATTACTATCATATGACAGCTGTCTCCATTAATGCATCAGTTAATTCTTGTTTCTTACTTCTTTAATTCTTGGCGTTTTAAATCCTTTTTTTTTATTCCTTTGGGGGTTTTTTTTGCAAGCTGTTATTTAGGATAGATAATAAAACAGCCTGATCTCTGTAGAAATATCTGGCAAACACATATGTAAGCTAATGTTTAAAATTTTGAAAACGGAACAGACGACTCTTTGAATCTTTAAAAGTTTGGTATTTTGAAGAAAACTGTCTATTTCCATCATTAGGGTGTTATGTCATCCCTCTGCTGTTTTTATACTTTGAGTGTAACCACATCCTCACCCTAAACCCCACACAAGAACTTAGACCACTAATGCTCGCATACTTTCCCTCCAGGTGCAGTCTGAGACTTTGCCTAGGGAACACAGCCTGGTTATGACTCGATCTGGCTCCCTGATGGGCCAGGGTCCCACCGCGGGAGGATGGGTTTGTGACTCAGCTACCCTCCCCTTGGCTGGACGTAGGGCCTCCAGGTCCGGCCTGTCCCCAAAACGCACCAGCTCTGGCCTGCCTGAGCACGACCTGAGCGGGGAAGGTGGAGGAAGCGAAGGAGGAGGGGATGAGGGAAGAGGAATCGGGAATGGGCTGGCTTCCAGAGATGGACAATCAGTAAGTGGACGCAACTACGCCACTGTTCTCCACGGGGAGGTATCTGGACAGAGGGACTACACCAGCAGCCTGGGAAGAGGAGGACTGGAAATGGGAAGCAACTTTGTTGTGTCACGACCAGACAGGGAGAATGGAGGAATCCCAGTGACTGGAAACCCACCTGTCTTCCCAGAGGCAGCTGGATTTATTGGGGAATGGCGTGAGCAAATGGGTTTGGGAGGATACGTTCTGGGAAGGAGGGACATGAGCCCCCAGCTTTTACCCTTCCCAGGCCAGCCAAGGGGGACATTTGGAGGAGTTGTGAATTACGGGCCCGGCTGGGTCCCTGGAATGGAAGCAACAAGAGGGTCACAGGGGCCCGGTGGTCCCTCCTTGGCACTGAGGGTGGGTGAGTTTCTACGGCTACGTCTAGCCCAGGTCACTTTTGACCCTTCTCAGCCGCCGTATGACTCAGTGCAGGTGTATGGCCTGGAGGGGACTGGATCCAGAGCGGGGTCACTGAGCTCACTGGAAAGCGATGGAGAAAAGGAGGATTGGGGTGTGGGGCTTGAAAACTGGGGTCCTCAGTTCCAGAAACTAGCTCAGCTCTTTAAAAGCAAAGAAAAAACTAAAGAAGACCAGGAAAAAGTTGAACAAATTGCCAAAAAGGAGAGAGAGCAGAAGGAAGAGTCTGAAAATAAAGAGAAAAAGGAGAATGGGGAGGTCGGACAAGAGGGAAAAGATTGAGGGGAGCAAATAGGGTAATCAGTGGGGGCAAAAAAGGCGATGAGGAAGGGAAGGACTGGGAAGGTGATGAAAAGGCAACTAGAGGTAGAATAATGTGAGGAGAAGTTAAAGGAGAGAAAGATGAAGAGGGAAAGTAATAAAAAGAGACAGAGAAAAATGAGCCACGGGAGGATGGAGAATTTGAGGGCAGGAAAGGGAGTGATTGATGTAATTCAAAGCAATAAGTGTTGAAGCGCTGATATGGTTGAGCACAGATACTGAGACAATGTGGATGCTGCATCGGCTTGGGGCAGCAACAATTTGTTAAACACTCTGGACAAAGAAAAACAACCCAAACATCCCAGACTCAATTTAATTCAGCCCGCACGTATGGAATGAGAATTAGCAGGAAAACAAGGAGAACGAGGGATGCTTCTTGTTGTGTGTGTTTCTGGGTGTGTGCGTGCATTGTCATGTAGGTCTGAGAGAGAAAAAGTATGGCTGTGTAAGAACAAGTGCATTATTTAGAATACCGGTCTGCTTGATCGCAAGTGTGAGGAAATAAACTAATTTGTAAAAAAAAAAAAGAAAGATGTGGATTAAAAATCAAAATACCCAGGGACAATTTAAAGATGAGACAAAGTGCTACCCAGGCGCCGGGCTCGGAGTGATGTGCAGTGGGAGATAGAAAATGAAAAAAACAAAGTGGCTGGAAGGATCCAGGATTTAGGAGGAGTGGAATGGCAGGAATGTATAGTGTCAGAAAGGATCTTTTAAGTGAAGTGATTGTACAGAAAACTATTACTTTTTATTCCATCTGCTGGGACAGAAAAGTGAATAATTCAGCTTGATACTCCATTCCAAATGAAAATGATTAATCATTTAAATCCCACAAAGATTCCAACCCCTCCTTTCAGCTCACGAGGAAAACAGACATTGTGAAAAATTTAAATGATCTCGGGCTGTTATTCCACACCCACCCAACACCCCCATCCATTTCACGCTCCCAACCTTTTGTAGTCGAGTGTTGATATGTTTACAGAGATTTTACACCCAACACCTCCAAACAAAAATGACTGAATAGGGAAAAACATTGATTGTACAAAAGCCAGCCCGTCTACAGTACCTCAAAAAGGATTCAGTCCCCTTCTAACTTTTACGTTTTGTCACATTGCAACTTCAAACCTGTGTCTTAATAATGTTTTAATAGATACACCAATTTAGAGTGTTTCATACTTAGAAAGTAGAGGGAGAATAGAACATTGTTAAAAAAAGAAAACACTTTTTTTGTTTTTTTACTCAGGAAAATCTGAAAAGAATGGTGTGCATTGTTATTAAGCCCCACTTTTAGATCCTTCTTCATCAGCAGTTAAAGATGTAATTTTTTTTCTGACTGAAGTTTGATTAGTTCTTTAAAGAATATCTTAGTCATTTTGGTCAGAGAGCTTTTTGAACAGTTATATCAATTCAGTTGAACTTCTAGCAAAGTATTTAAGATGTTTTTGTTTTTTTTCAGTATGCCTCTGTATTATGCCTCATACGTCTGCAGCTCTAACTAGTTTACACTTCGCTACTGAAAGGAGCATCCCCAAATTGTCAATGGTATTGCTAGTTTTCATCTTTCCGTAAAAGTTAAAAAAAATATCCAAAGGACTTGGTTTCCAAGATTTGAAGATGTTTCGCCACCTCTCCAGGAAGCTTTCTCAATTCAAATGTCTGGATCCGCGGTGAGTTTGAGTCTTATATAGACAAGGCCTTGTATTGCTTGGAAACATGCGAATGATAACCGATGAGTGGGTCGTTTGGTTCCATTGTTAGCCTGTATTATCTGAAACCTGTCTATGATTCTAAAGGTCAGTCATTAAAGGGGGGGGATATTAGCTTGGGTGCCATTCCGAACTTAGTCCCGCCCACAATGTTTGAGGTTGGGAAGTTCGGTCTGGCATTGCTCAATAGTAGCGCGAGTATGCTCGCACAATTTCTGGCGGGCCAATCAAATTGTCAGGGCGGGCTTTATACGATGATGGACAGATGATCAACAGTAACGTAATCAACCACGTCACCAAAGCGCGCTTGGGTGACAACAACAATGGCTGCCACTGGAGAGTTGAGGTGTGTAGATTTTGCTATTAGGTCTGTTCTAGAAGATATCGACAGCAAATTAATTTTAAAAGAGGAACAGAGAAACGCGATCAAGGCTCATCTTCTTATTCATGGCGTGCAACTGCACGCTTTGATTGTTGTTGACAACAACTATGCGTTGCTTAACATACGTCACGCACTCCGTTGCTCTTATTGGTTGTAGGTCTATCCAATTGAGTGCAGAGGCATGTTTTTCCTGGTTCGTTCGAAACACGCCCCATAATCACAGCTCTATGGAGCAGTATCAGACTTATATTCTGACTAGAATTGAGTAGGACTACGTCAGGCTAGGGGGATATGCCGTTAAGGGGTGGATTGTCTCCAGTAGTACCTGAAACCTGTCTATGATTGCGGATCCAGAAAATTTGAATTGAGAAAGCTTCAAGAGGTGGCGAATGGTCTTCAACTCTTAGAAACCAAGTCCAGATATTTTTTTTTAACTTTTACAGAATGACTATGACCTGGATGATTGAGAATCTTCATCAGCCTAGTTTTCATCTCTTATGATCCAAAGACCTTCCACATGTTTAAGTGCCCATATAGCTAATCACCAACGTTCAATAGGACAATAATTAATGCCATTCCTTTAAAAAGTTCAGTAAAGCAATCTAAGATTGAGCTTTGGTGTCATATATGAACCTTTCAATTTGACTCCAAACTGAAGTGCTATTTTTTGTTCTACACTACACTCAAAACTACCCACTGCAAAATAGACTTCACCTGGGGATTTAAGGTATATTTTTTGCAGCTGAGTAAGGTTGGCATCAAGGATGCAAAAATGTGGGGCTCCCCAAGAACATGTTATGCAAGAATTATGACTGGAAATATCTTGGTGGGGTTAAAAAAAAACTGAAAATGTTAAAGGAAATAAAAATGTTCATGAAGTTTTAGATTAAAAGGGGCTCAAAACAAATGCCTGCCAAACTGTTCAGATCATCATAAAAAAATAATCATGGATCATATACCACTACTGATTTGTGTCGGTATATCATTTAAAATGATTGTAAAAAAGACAAAAAACATTGAGGTTTGGTATTGCAACAGGACAAAATGTGACAAGGATATATATATAATATACTTTTGCAAAAGATGGTAAGCATTCAGCTCACTTTTCAGAGCATTAGACATTCATTTACACAAAAGTTTTCTATTTGTAAAGTCTGCTGTTTGTTCTTTCTTTCCTTTTTTATAAGTACCTGCTGTACGCACCTTGAAGACATGACATGCATGACTTCTGAAAACAAGTGGGGGAAATCGGTGCCGATCACTTCCTTCTTTGAACACTTGTACTGCCTAATTGAAAATTTCCACAGATCTCTTAGTTAAATAGTAGGGGTGCACCATCACAGAGACTCCCACCACAGGGTGTTGTGTTATCATTAAAGGTCATAATGCAAATGAGTCGAGTTTTCAGCTGGAATGCACTTTTTTACTGTGTTATGTCCAATAACAAATCATGAACAATGTCAAAGATAACACTTGTTTTATAAGATGTTGATGAAAAGATAAGTTGTTTGACTGTATGTAAAATCATTTTAAATGTAAATACCACTGAATAATCCTGCTGAAAGACACTATATATAATAAAAAAAAGAATTTAGGTGTTCAAATGCAGCACTGTTGGGACTATCTGTATGTATTGTAGATTAGAAATTGATCATCTGAGCTGGAATAAAAGCAGCAGCCTATATTCAACATTTATAAATGGGTTCGTCTCGTGGTAGCCCTTCTCTTGAAAGTGGACAAGCCAACCATTTAATTATACATGTGGCCTCTGGCAGACGCTTGTTGTTCAAAACATTGATGTAGTTCAAGAAAAACCTGTCGGAAAGCCTGTCCCAGTGAACAGCTCATTTGAAAGAAGTGTGTATCAATGCACACACATACACACGTGCACAAAAATCTGTATTTTATTTCTATTATGCACTAAAATGGAATATGTCAGTACTTGGTTTTGCCTGAGAGAGATGGAGGTTTTATAGATACTTACCTCTCTGGGAATTTAATAAACTGAATTAAGGGAAAGTGGCTTTTTTCATCTTTTATGCATTTCTGCCTCTGCAACTTAAGTACCTAATTAATTTTGCACTTGGGTTTACCTAAGGAAGTTCTCAAACTCCCTTTAAGAGTTGCTAAACCCTCACATGGGTTTAATAGTTTTGAGAAGAATATGCAATTCTAACTTGTGGTCTTGTAAACAAATATTTATTAATTAATGTTCACATGTCAATGTTTTATTTTTTCTTTTACATTAATCTCCAGAAATCCAATATTTTTAATTACAGGTAAACATTTAATGATCATTGCAACTTAGGAGGGAGATAGGATTGCTTCTTTTGTCTGATGTCATTTGAGTAATACACTTCACATGGCCGCTTACCAACCTCTGACACTGGTAATAACTTCCAACAGTAAGATGTTTGGTGTTTTTCCTCCATGCAAGCCTGTATTAAATCACCCCACATCATATCATCAAGATCCATAGGCTTTGACTCTTGAGTTTCAATTTCTTAACTCTCAGCAAGTCCTCTATTGATTTCCTGGTATCTTTGCCCCCATTTTCTAAAAAATGTTTTTCCCAGCTTTCTCTCTAGCACCATCTGAGACATCTAAGCCATGACATCCATCTTCATACTTAACAGTTGGTAGTCTCCTCCCAGAGCTCTGCATTGGGTGATTGCTAGACACACCCCTGTTTTAGTTTCTAAATAATTACATTTCAGATGCATGCATGCATGCATGCACCAAACATTGTTCTAGAATTGCTGGTCTTGCATTCTCCCTTTTGTTTGATCTTCATGTTTCTGTTAAGGAACAAAACCCTTTCCATCTTGCACAATACTAAACCTTTGCAGTAATTTTTTGAGGGCATAGATATGCACTTTGATAGATATTAAGAAGAACCTGATGTAAACCATGTGATGACATCTTACTAGCTAACACTAAAGACCCATTCTTTGATGTTACTTTATAGCTTAATGGTGCTGTTTGGACCTGATCCTTACCACCTGTTCAAAAGAGAGTGTGATACTGTACCATAGAATATAACAACCATTTGTACCAAGCCACCTCCGAAAACAGGGACAGGTGGTGAGTTGAAGTGGCTATAATGATCCTTTGATAAAACAGTAACATGTTCATATGCCAGCATTTAAAAATAGTTTTCTGTCAAATAAAAAATAAACAATTTATACTTTTTAATACAAACGCAAAGGCTTCAGTCTTTTCACTGCACTTGCTAAAATCATAATTTTTAATCTAATAGTTGTTATAATGTCGGACATTTATTCATTATTTTGATTTGGTAATCTACACTATGATGGCTGAGGGAAAAAAAAATGCAAATCCATAGTTACACAGCAAATACAAAAGAGGAGGCTTGCAAATATAAAAAAATAGACCAATACAAAACACATGCAAAGGAAAAAATGCTGCAATTACAAAAAATAAGTTATGCATTTAATAAAGGATGTCCTAATACAATACTACTTTTAAGACTATAAATGAGGACAACAACTTTGTTTTTTATTGCCATTTTTAAAAGGCTGCGTCTTGTGTATCTTTCATGCTTCACCATTCCCATTCATTGTGGTTCGAACAAGATTAGTCAAGCTGGAGCAGCAATGGCAGACAAGGATGGCAAAAATAGTGATTAAAAATGTATATATTACACTTTCTGTGCCCCAATATAAACAGTTTTCTAGGTGATAATGTGGCTTGGCTCAACTCAAACATTGGCTTGGTTTAATTTAGATGTAAAACTCTACAACCCACACAACTGGCCCAGGTGGTACAGATCATCCAGGGAAGGTTTGCTGTGTCTGTCAGCATGATATCCAGAGGCTACAGGGACTACCAGGAGACGGGCCAGCACACCAGGAGACTTGGAGTAGTCTGTAGGAGGGCAAAAACCTAGTAGGACCGCTACCTCTGCCTTTGAGCAAAAAAAACCCCCAAAAAAACAACCTCTGCCTTTGAGCGAGGAGAATCAGGAGTACTGCCAGAGCCCTACAAAATGGCTGCACAAATGATTTTAAACTTACTCCATGAGGATGGTATGAGGGCCTAACATCCACAGATAGTGGTTGTGCTCAAAACCCAAACCATGCAGAACGCTTGGCATTTGTGAGAGAACACAATGTTTTGCAAATTCGCCACTGGCCCTCTCTGCTCACAGGT